GGAGTTAAACCACGACACCCAGTCAAACAGCGACGAAGTGTGTGGAGAGGGACGAATGCCTCGCTGTCCCTTCAGCCGTTTCCTTTCTGCGCGCAGGCATGTCTGCCCGGCGAGGCCCGAGCCGATGGGAGCAGACCTGCAGGGAGGTGGCGTGTCCTCCAGCACCCCAGGCTGGGGAACCTGAACGCGATGTTCAAGGTGCCTTTTCCTGCGGGAGGAGACAAGTTACAGCTTTCATGCTCGTCGTCCTCCGGCAGAGAAGGTGCCACCCAGCGCTAAGCAGAGTCGAGCATGTCGCAGTGAAGCCGGCGATGGCCATGCGGGATGTCTGACTGAGGCCTCGGTCCCTTTTGTCTGGACGGTACCTGAAGCAGCTTTTCTTTTGGGATCTGCAGTACTGCTGCCTGGGAGTGGTGTTGATGAAGGGACTGCGGTTTGTACATGCTACAGCAGGAGTCGGGGCAAATGATGTGTTAAAAGACTGCTTCTTGGTTAAATAATTTGGACACAAAAAAAGAAAGTCTTAAATGAGAGAGAAAGTATTTTCAAGCACTGAAATCCATGACAAAAGATAGGAGAGCGGTGGTGGGGTTTGTACTTGAAGAAGAGCCAGTTCTTGTGTTGAAGCTGCAGTAGAGTTGAAAAGAGCATGGAGTTACCTGGAGGAAACTCAGTGAGCCAGCAGTGGCTGAAGAAGTCTGGAAGGAATTGTTAACCTGGGGGGAGATGAAAGCTGTGGGGAGACTTCCCGGCCCGTGCAGTTACGCAGCCACACAGCCACAAGTGGAAAGAGTAACAACAAATGAATTTTGATGTGATGCCATTTTAACACCGCACTGTAGCGTACCACCGTGTTTGGCAGGCTCTCTGTCCGTTATAAAACTATTTCAAATCTGTGAATGACGAGGTGTTTGCTTTCTGTGTCCTGAAATCCACAAGGCAGCAAGCACACACCCAGGGCCTGACGGGAACCTCGCAGTTGGGCAGAGGCAAAGGCCGAGTCCCGCAGCGGGTGTGCGATGACCCGAGGCGCAGGCTGGGCACGGCGGGGAAGCAGCTGTGCAGAGGCCAGGCGGGGAGTCCCCAGGGACAAGCAAAGAAGGTGACGGTGTCCAGCCCTGTCCTGGGCTCCGCTGGAAGAGCACAGCTGAGCAGGGGCAAGGAAAGCAGCCTTTCCTCTCTGATCAGCGCTTCCGTGGCTGCAGCTGGAGCCCTGCGACCGCTCCTGACACCAAGGCAAAGATGGGAACAAGTCCAGCGGAGGCCACCAGGCTGATCAGGAGGTTAGAGCTAGGAGGAACAGGAGGCAGGAAATGGAAGGGGATAGAAAAGCTGGATCCAGGCTCGTTGCAGAGGTGCACAGGAATGAGGAAGGCCTGTGTAATGCTCAGCGTCTCTGAGCGCAGCATCACACCCCTAATGCAAGCCGTGCGCGTCAGCACTGCCCAGCTGCAGGGGATGGGACCAGCGGGAGCCCCGGGTGACCCCGCTGTGGCAGAAGGGCGGGGGCAGGTTGATGTTCGCTTGTGACTCGGGGAGCTTCATCCCTGTAGAAATAGGAACCACTGCATACCACGGCAGTAGAGCTGACAGATTCAGGAGAGCAAGGGCCATTTCAAATGCCTGCCCCCTTCCCATGCACACTTTTCCCAACAGGGTATCACAACCAGCTTGGGAAAGCCTTGAGAACCAGTGAGCGACTGGCAGGGACAGCAGCTGGGATGACTGCGCCCAGTCTGTGACACACAGCAGCTGTGAACAGCCCTTACATGGCTCTTCTCCTCCAAATTCATCTCTGGCCAGAATGGGGAGGTTGGTGGCACAGGGCCAAGCTGTCACCACAGAGCTCCAGCTGAAAATATTTGTGCTGCTGCAAAGTGCCCAAACAGCTGCGATGAACCCGCTTTAGGGGCAGGCAGCAGTCTCCTGGGGTACACTGACACCACCTTCAGCTCCCAAGTGCATGGGTTTGGGTGTCTAAAGCAGAGCTGTGCCCACCCTGTCATTTTAAGGGTGGCAGATGCATCTGACCCACCCCCACCAGCAGTAACTGGCCCCAGAGGAGTTGCAGCAATTCCAGGCACTAGGAGGTATTAAAGAAATCGGTGGGTGAGAACCAGTCGTAGCTGTCCTGGCATGACCGGTGAGATGCTGCTGTGGAGAAAGCGTTGATTTGCCATCAAAAAGAGCCACCTTGGGCCTGGTCCCTTCCTCCGGGCTGCCAGACTGGAGGGATGTGTTTGGGATTTCAAGAGACATTTTTCAACCTTCACTGCTACCTCAGTCCTGCCCCAACTCCTACTGGGTGTTGTCTTTGCTTTTAGCATTTCTTCCCTACCCCTTGTCTTTCCCTTCCACACAAACATTTTTAACCACGTTCAGAATCTGAAAGGTATTTCTCCCAGTTTTGTGGGACACAGGAAAGCCGAGGAATTCTACCGTGTCAGGGCTGGGCGTGCAGTGCGTGTCCATGCTGTGCCAGTAGCTTGGGAAAACAACTTACCGCCGTTCAGAGCGACTGCAGCGGCTCGGCCTCGCTGGCAGAGAGCAGCAAGAAGAAACTGAGCGAGAACTTCAAAGGTGTTTCTCCACAGTGCCCAAGAACTGGCTTTTATTGTAGCTACTTCATCTTTTGTCCACCAAAACCTTTTTCTTAGTAACTGGGTAAAGCCCATATAATAAAATCAGACAAAAACCAGCTTCAAACATGGTTTCATAGGCCTTTTATGCATCTTCAGTAGGGATTCTGAACTTATACTGCCAACTGAAAGAGAAAGGCGGCTGCAAAACCCGTCCCTCAATAGCATCATGAACCCAGATTTTATTCCCATGTCCTGTCAAACTCCTCCCTCTCTCCCCTGAACAAAACCACCCCCCGAAACAGCCTCTAACAAGTGGGTACTCTGACAGTGCTTGGGGCGTTCCCAGACCGTGTTAGGGGCAGCCTGTACAGCAGTTTCTAAACGGCATCTACTGTACACGGACGCTTCCTCCCAGCCTTCTGCCCGCACCCCAACAGCTCCTGCCTTACCGCTGACCGGCGCTGTTACACAGGGGAACGGAGGAAGGGGCACTCCGACATCAACCACCAACGCACCCTTTCCTACGAGGGAAGCGCAGGGACGCCGAGTCCCTGGTGCCGTACTGCTGCTGAGCCAGCGCGCTCTGTGCATGCCCGCTGGTCACGCTCGGCAGGAGGAGGTATGGGGCAGGTGTGAGAGCCGGAGGGCCAGAGTCTGTTCCAAACTCGGGCTTGCTGACATCCCATCACCACTCTGCAGTGACAGGCAACTCTTCTGAACCAAAACGAGTAGCCGTAGGGCATGGCACTGTGCTCTCCAGCTTAACG